TCTCAGCACCACATCACACCTACTCTAAAATTGACCACATAATTTGAAGTAAAGCACTGCTCAGCAAATGCAAAACAACTGAAATCATAACAAACAGCCTCTCAGACCATAGTGCAATCAAGTTAGAACTCAGAATTCAGAAACCGACCCAGAACCGCACAGCTTCATGGAAACTGAACAACTGGCTCTTGAATGTTGACTGGATAAACAATGAAATGAAGGCAGAAATAAAGAAGTTCTTCGAAACCAATGAGAACGAGTACACAACATGCCAGAATCTCTGGGACACATTTAAAGCAGTCTCTAGAGGAAAGTATATAGCAATAAGTGTCCATATGAGGAGAATGGAGAGATCCAAAATTGACACCCTATCATCAAAATTGAAAGAGCTAGAGGAGCAAGATCAAAAAAACTCAAAACCCAGCAGAAGACAAGAAATAACTAAGATCAGAGCTGAACTGAAGGAGATTGAGACACGAAAAACCCTTCAAAAAAATCAATAAATCCAAGAGCTGGTTTTTTTAAAAGATCAACATGATGATCAACAAAAAGATCAACAAAATAGACAGACCACTAGCCAGATTGATTAAAAAGAAAAGAGAGAACAACCAAATAGATGCAATAAAAAATGATAAAGGGGTAATCACCACAGATTCCACAGAAATTCAAACCATCATCAGAGAATATTACAAACAACTCTATTCACATAAACTAGTAAACCTGGAAGAAATGGATACATTCCTGGACTCCTGTGTCCTCCCAAGCCTAAACCAGGAGGAAGCTGAAACTATGAATAGACCAATAACAAGGTCAGAAGTCGAGGCAGCAATTAAGAGCCTACCACCCAAAAAAAGCCCAGGTCCAGACGGGTTCACAGCCAAATTCTACCAGACACACAAAGAGGAGCTGGTACCATTCCTTCTGAAACTATTCCAAATAATCCAAAAAGAGGGAATCCTTCCCAAATCATTTTATGAGACCAATATCATCCTGATACCAAAACCCGGCAGAGACCCAACAAGAAAAGAAAACTTCAGGCCAATATCCATGATGAACATAGATGCAAAAATCTTCAATAAAATATTGGCAAGCCGATTGCAACAGAAAATAAAAAAACTTATTCATCATGATCAAGTAGGATTCATCCTGGGGATGCAAGGCTGGTTCAACATACGCAAGTCTATAAACGTAATTCACCACATAAACAGAACAAAAAACAAAAACCTTCATGATTATCTCAATTGACGCAGAGAAGGCATTTGACAAAATTCAACAGCCCTTTATGCTAAAAACCCTCAATAAACTCGGTATTGATGGAACGTATCTCAAAGTAATAAAAGCTATTTATGACAAACCAACAGCCAATAATATACTTAATGGGCAAAAACTGGAAGCATTCCCTTTGAAATCTGGCACTAGACAAGGATGCCCTCTTTCACCACTCCTATTCAATATAGTTCTGGAAGTTCTGGCCATAGCAATCAGGCAAGAAAAAGAAATAAAGGGTATTCAAATAGGAAAGGTGGAAGCCAAATTGTCTCTATTTGCAGACGACATGATAGTACCTAGAAGACCCCATCGCCTCAGCCCAGAAACTCCTGAAACTGATAAGCAACTTCAGCAAAGTCTCAGGATATAAAATCAATGTGCAAAAATCACAAGCATTCCTCTACGCCAATAACAGACTTAAAGAAAGCCAAATCAAGAACGAACTGCCATTCACAATTGCTACAAAAAGAATAAAATACCTTGGAATACAACTCACAAGGAACGTAAGGGACCTCTTCAAGGAAAACTACAAACCACTGCTCAACGAAATCAGAGAGGACACAAACAGATGGAAAAACATTCCATGTTCATGGTTAGGAAAAATTAATATCATGAAAATGGCTATACTGCCCAAAGTCATTTACAGAATCAACGCTATCCCCATCAAGCTACCATTGACTTTCTTCACAGAACTGGAAAAAACCACCATGAACGTCATATGGAACCAAAAGAGAGCCCGCATAGCCAAGTCAATTCTAAGCAAAGAGAACACAGCGGGGGGCATCACACTACCGGATTTCAAACTATACTACAAGGCTACAGTAATCAAATCAGCATGGTTCTGGTACCAAAACAGAGATATAGACCAATGGAACAAAACAGAGGCATCGGAGGCAACACAACATATCTACAACTATACAATCTTTGATAAACCTGACAAAAACAAGCAATGGGGAAAGGATTCCCTGTTTAACAAATGGTGTTGGGAAAACTGGCTAGCCATGTGCAGAAAGCAGAAACTGGACCCCTTACTGACACCTTACACTAAAATTAACTCCAGATGGATTAAAGACTTAAACATAAGACCTGGCACGATAAAAACCCTAGAAGGAAATCTAGGCAAAACCATCCAGGACATAGGAGTAGGCAAGGACTTCATGAACAAAACACCAAAAGCATTGGCAACAAAAGCCAAAATAGACAAATGGGACCTAATGAAACTCCACAGCTTCTGCACGGCAAAAGAAACAGTCCCTAGAGTGTATCGGCAACCAACAGAATGGGAAAAAATTTTTGCAGTTTACCCATCTGACAAAGGGCTGGTATCCAGAATTTACACTCAAACAGATTTACAGGAAAAAAACAAACAAGCCCATTCAAAATTGGGCAAAGGATTTGAACAGACACTTTACGAAAGAAGACATATATGAGGCCAACAATCATATGAAAAAATGCTCATCGTCACTGATCATCAGAGAGATGCAAATCAAAACCACATTGAGATACCATCTCACGCCAGTTAGAATGGCGATCATTAAAAAATCTGGAGACAACAGATGCTGGAGAGGATGTGGAGAAAAAGGAACACTTTTACACTGTTGGTGGGAAATTAGTCCAACCATTGTGGAATACAGTGTGGCGATTCCTCAAGGCCTTAGAAATAGAAATTCCATTTGACCCAGCAATCACATTACTGGGTATATATCCAAAGGACTATAAATCATTCTACTATAAGGACACATGCACACGAATGTTCATTGCAGCACTGTTTATAATAGCAAAGACCTGGAATCAACCCAAATGCCCACTGATAATAGACTGGATTGGGAAAATGTGGCACATATACACCATGGAATATTGTGCAGCAATCAGAAATGATGAGTTTGTGTCGTTTGTAGGGACATGGATGAATCTGGAGAATGTCATTTTCAGCAAACTGACACAAGAACAGAAAATGAAACACCGCATATTCTCACTCATAGGCGGGTGATGAAAAATGAGAACACATGGACACAGGGAGGGGAGTACTAAACACTGGGGTCTATTGGGGGGAAAAGGGGAGGGCCAGTGGGAGGGGGAGGTGGGAAGGGATAGCCTGGGGAGAAATGCCAAATGTGGGTGAAGGGGAGAAAGGAAGCAAAACACACTGCCATGTGTGTACCTATGCAACTGTCTTGCATGTTCTGCACATGTACCCCAAAACCTAAAATGCAATAAAAAATTAAAAAAAAAAAAAGCTTCTGGGATTTTAAAAACTGGAATTGCTCTGAATCTATAGTTCAAATTTGAAGATAAGTTGAGCCTTTAGAATATTGAGTCTTTAGTCCAGGCACCATGGCTCACGCCTGTAATCCTAGCAATTTGGGAGGTCAAGGTGGGCGGATCACAAGGTCAGGAGTTTGAGACCAGCCAATATGGTGAAACTATGTTTCCACTAAAAATACAAAAAAAAAAAAAAAAAAAAAATAGCCAGGCATGGTGGCATGCATCTGTAATCCCAGCTACTTGGGAGGCTGAGGCAGGAGAATCGCTTGAACTTGGGAGGCGGAAGTTACAGTGGGCCGAGATTGTGCCACTGCATTCACTCCAGCCTGGGAGACAGAGCAAGTCTCTGTCTAAAAAAATGTATATATATATCGAGTCTTCAAATTCATAAACATAATATCTCACTCCACTATGTTTTCCTTAATGTTTCTTGAAGTTCTGTAATATTCATGATGTACATCTTTCACATCTTTTGCCAAATTTAGTCCTATGAATTTCATATATTTTACTTTAAATGTGGTCCAATTTTTAAACTTAGTTTTTGTGTGTAGATGGTATTCAGAAATTTGATAGATTTTTATACTAATTTTTGTATTCAATACCACATTAAATTAACTTATCTGAGCATATTTTTTTTTAATTTCTTATAAATTTTTAAATATATTGGTATAATTTGAAATACATATCAATGTCTGCAACAACTATAGTTATGCCTCAATAATTTTCAGGCATTTTTCATTTCCAATATAAGCATTTAAGGCTATACATTTTCCTCTGACTAATGCTTTACTATCACCCTACAAATTTTTATTTATTTTGACGCAGTCTCACTCTGTTGTCCAGACTGGAGCGCAGTAACGTGATCTTGGCTTTCTGCAATCTGCCTCCCGGATTCAGGTGATTCTCCTGCCTCAGCCTCCCAAGAAGCTGAGATTACAAGCGTGTGCCACCACACCTGGCTAATTTTTGTCTATTTACTAGAGGCAGGATTTCACCATGTTGGCAAGGGGCCACCTGCTGCAGCCCAGAATTGGACACTTTACTCGCCTCTAGTGTCCCCACCGAGTGGCCTGCAGGTACTCTGAAGGCCTTCAGAGAAGGGCAACTTCCTGCAGCCTAGGCAGCCCCTCCATCTTCAGAATGATCTTCCCTGGGCCAAGCTGAAATCTAATACAGAATATTCGGCTCCTGGTTAGCCACAGTGGCCCTTGGCTCGGAACCCTGAAGACAGCCCCACTCTCCTGGACCCCTCAGTCATCTTAGACACGCCTGAATTCCTCCCTGCAACCAAAGGCAATTCAGTCTTTAAGTCCAACGACTAAACCCTGGTAAGTACCTCACAATGAACCCCGAAAGGAGACTCAGATGAGGACGCTGAACCTAGGCCTTGGCTCTAAAAGACCTCTCCACTTCGTCAGCATCCAGATGCCATCATTTTTATGCAAAATGCAAAACAAATCACCTACCAGCTTTGGTGGCTCTCCCACAGCTGCCTCAAGCCTTGGTCGGCCAGGCCTTCCAGGACAAAAAGGTGGGTCTTCCCATCCAGCAGATGGAAGCCAGTGAGCACATCCAGGTGCTGCTGCTCCTGGACCCGCACACGCATCTTGAAGGCTGACAGGATCTGCTGCAGGGTCCTGATTGGGTAGGAGTCCAGGCTGAGGGCCTTGGCGTTGATCATGGTGATGCCCTGCAGCAGGCTGTGCAGCAGGGAGACCTTCTTGCAGTCGAAGACGAAGATGATGCGGCCAAACTGGGAGTCCCCGAGGTCGGGATCCACGGCTCTGGCCCCAGCCCTCAGTGGCACTGCGATGTCCACTCGTAGCTTGAGCTGGGAGTTAGCCTCGAGGTAGTTGCCCATGGGCATTGGGCTGTGCTGGTGGCCATCTCTTGGGACCCCAAACCCTACAATCTTCCTCTTCCCACTGTTCTGGCTGCAATGTGTGGGCTGAACCTCACAGCTGTGGATGGGGACAGCCAGGTTCAAGTACTTGTGGCCAAGGAGGAGGTCAGCAAAACTGACCCGGGCGATTCCATGAGGGTACCACATCTTGTTCTGGGACTCAAAGGGGTTGTTCTCTGTCTCTCTGGGAGAGACGAGGGCCTGAAAATTGAGGTATGAATCCAGGGGGTCCTCCCCAAACAGCACAGGCTTCCGAGAACACTCCTGTGACTTATGGTCCCGGTCGTGAACTTCCACCACCATAGGGGGGCCCTCCAGGTATTCCCTTAGGTCACTGGGGTGCAGCACCCCAAGGAAGATGACATTGATGTCCTGGAAATGAACGTGGGTTCCATGGGGCTCCCCCTTGGTCTTGTGAACTGGAGTCTTATGGAACTGGTACTTGCAGTACACGGGCATGCACAGCCTCTACAAGAGAGCAGGGCCACAGCAGGTCACCTGGTCGCAAGGACAGTCACTCAGCCCCAGCATGAGGAGCTCAAACCCCAGTGCCAGGCTCACTACCTGCCCCTGGAGCCCGAGTTTCCTCATCCACAAAATATCCATGAGAAAGCCTACTGTGCAAGGCCATTACAAGGACTGCAGACATCACTCATGTGAACGTACCAGGCTGGTGACTGGCATAAAACAAGGACTCAAAAAGGATTGGTCATTATTTTTCCTTCCAAAACGTAAGCGCCATGAAGACAAGCCATGTGTCTTTTTTCACATCTCTACTTCTAGTTCCTATTCCAAGGCTGGGCACAGAAAAGGTACAGAGAAGTGATATTTAGATAGGAAATCCCTGTTTTCCAAATATACATCTAGGGGTCGGCATAGACCCTTTTAGCAGAGCCACAGGTGCCAAGCTGAAAACTGACACCCTGGGCAGGAGAGCGCCTCAGAGAGCACAGAGAACCAGATGGAAAGGAAGAGCCAAGCTGCGCTGAGGCACAGAGCAGGGACATTTGCATGTTTTGACCTTGGTGCTGAGGTTTTATTATCACAAACTAAGCCTTACACAAGTCTGTGGTCTGAATTTTTATCTAAAGGTACTATTTATTTTACACTGAAGCTGAGAATTTATTCTAAAATAATCCTGGATTGGCAGAGCTCCCAGAGCAGTGGGCAAAGATTACAGAATACCTTGAGACACTCACTTTCAACCTAGGCCTCAAAGAATTCCCATCAAGTAAATTCCATTGAACATGAGATCATGGTAAAAATCACAAAACACCTAAAGAGAAAGGCACTACTAGTGAAATCAGATGCACCAATGCATAAGATATTAGAATGATCAGAGATATAAAATAAGGATCTTTGATAGGTTTAAGGAAAGAAAGAATATCATCAGGGTAAAACCTATTGTATTTCTATTTATTTGTAAAAGGCTTGTCACAGTTGAGAAAGCCAAATACCAAACACACAATGGAGATGCCGAGAACCAAACAGATTTTTTCTGCAAAACCCTTGAAAGACTTGGGAATGGCAAACCTAGTCTCTCTGGAACTGGCAGTAAAATGGAAAGGCTGGGGCAGGGATGACTGGGTGCAAGTTCCTTAAGAAGCAATCAGATCCCTAGGTGTCCTCCCAGTGGCTCAGCAGAAGTCTATTAGTTTGCTCTCCAGGCAAAATGTAAATAGGGGGTCCTCAAAATTTCAAAACACTGATGAAAACAAAGAGGTAAATAAATGGAGAGATATACTATATTCATGGATTGGAAGACAACATAGCAAAGTTGTCAACCCTCCTCAAACCAATCAGTTTATAGATTTACAAATGTAATGCAATTCCAATCAAAATTCCAGAACAACTTTTGTAGATATTGATAAACAAATTCCAAAATTTGTATAGAAGAGCCAAGAAACTGGAAGAGCTAAAACAGTGTTGAAAAAGAAACTAATTTTCAGTAAAAAAAAAAAAAAAAAAAAAGAAAGAAACAGAAAACTAAAGTTGGAGGAACCACTTCACCCAGTTTTTCAACTTACTACAAAGCTACTATAAGCAAGACAGTGTAGTGCTGCTGAAAGGACAGACAGACCCATGGATCAGAAAAGAGAACCCAGAAATAGATCCACACAAGCATGGCTAATGTGTGTTTATCAAAAATACAAAAGAGAGAGAACTTCAACATAAACCTCACGCCATATACAAAAATTCATTAAAAATTATCATAGGCTGGGCGTGGTGGCTCACACCTGTAATCTCAGAACTTTGGGAGGCTGATGCAGGAGGATCGCTTGAGGCCAGGATGTGTGAGGTTTCAGTGAGCTAAGACTGCACACATGCCTGGGCAACAAATGAGACTGTTTCAAAAAAGAAAAAAATTGACCAAAGATATAAATGTAAACTATAAAACTATTAAAGCATTGAGAAGAAATGGAAAAAGAAGTCTGTGACCGGGGGTTAGGCAAAGAGTTCTTAAATGTGACACAGACACAAAACAAACAAACAAAACAACAACAAAACAAAACAAAAAAATGTGGCACAAAAACACAATGCATCCATGAAAAAAAAATGTACAATTTGGACTCCAACAAAATAAAAAATTTTGCTCTGCAAAAGACACTGTAAAGAGATGAAAAGATGTGTTTGTCACAGATTGGGTTAAAAATAAAAAAGAATGAAAAGACAAACTATAGACTGGGAGAAAATACTAGCAAATAGCTCTGCAGCCCCAACCTCGTGGGGCTCAGCTGATTCTCCCACCCCAGCTTCCCTAGTAGCTGGGACTACAGGTGTGTGCTACCATGCCCCACTAATTTTTCTTTTTCTTTTCTTTTTTTTTTTGTAGAGACAGGGTTTCTTCATGTTGCCCAGGCAGGTCTTGAACTCCTGACCTCAAGTGATCCTCCTGCCATAGTCTCCCAAATTGCTGAGATTGCAGCCATGAGCAACTGTGCCCACCCTAGAATTTTTTTTTTCCCCCAAGACAAGGTCTCTTCTCCATTGCCCAGGCTGGAGTACAGTGGCTCAATCTCAGCTCACAGCAACCTTTATCCCTGGTTCAAGTGATTCTCCTGCTGGGATTATAGACATGTGCCACCATGCCTGGCTAATTGTTGTGTTTTTAGTAGAGATGTGGTTTCACCATGTTGGCCAGGATGATCTTGAACTCTTGACCTCAAGTGACCCCCGCACCTCAGCCTCTCAAAGTGTTGGGATTACAGGCATGAGACACCATGCCCAGCTTAGAATATATATTTTTTAAAACTCCCAAAACTCAGCAGTAAGACTGTAAACAACCCAATTGAAAAGTGAGCAAAAACTTGAGCAGAAATTTCACCAAATGGGATCTAAAATAGCAAGTAAACACATGAAAAGATGCTCAACATCATTATCCATCAGGGAAATACAAATTAAAACCATGATGTGATAACAATACACACTTCTTAGAATGGCTACACTTAAAACTAAATACTGACAATACCACCTTCTGAGGCCAGGTATGGTGGCTCATGTCTAATCCCAGCATTTGGGGAGGCCGAGGCGGGCGGATCATGAGGTCAGAAGTTTGAGACCAGCCTGACCAACATGGTAAAACGCTATCTCTACTAAAAATACAAAAATTAGCCAGGCATGGTGCCATGCACCTGTAATCCCAGCTACTCAAGAGGCTGAGGAAGGAGAATTGCTTGAACCCAGGAGGCAGAGGTTGCAGTGAGCCAAGATCGCACCATTGCACTCCAGCCTGGGTGACACAGTGAGACTCCATCTCAAAAAAAAAAAAAAACAACAAAAAACACAAAACACACACATTCTGGGGAGGGTAGAGAGCAACTAGAACCGTTGTTCACTGCTGGTGAGAACATAGAGTGATCTAGCCACACTGGAAAATGGTGGGCAGTTTTTCATAGTCAGGCATACACTTAACATAGAGCCTAGCAATCTCATTTCTGGGAATTTACCCTAAAGAACTGAAAACTTCTGTTCCTATAAATACATGTGTACAATGCTTTTAGCAGCTCTATTCATAATTGCCAAAAACTAGAAGCAACCTTTTTGTGTCTTTTTTCACATTGGGTAATTTCGATTGTTTTATCTTTGAGTGTACAGACTCTTTCCTCTGTCCATTTGTCCATTCCATTCCGCTATTGAGCCCATCCATTGAGCTTTTTAAATGAGCAGTTATTGTCTTTTTCAGTTCTAAGATTTCCATTTGATTTTTTTTTTTTTTTGAGATGGCGTCTTGTTCTGTCGCCCAGGCTGGAATGCAGTGGTGTGATCTCAGCTCACTGCAACCTCCACCTCCTGGGTTCAAGCAATTCTCTGCCTCACCTTCTGAGTAGCCAGGATTACAGGTGCTCACCAACATGCTTGGCTAATTTTTGTATTTTTTAGTAGAGACAGGGTTTCACCCATCTTGGCCAGAGAACACCACAAAGATATTCCTCAAGAAGAGCAACCCCAAAGCACATAATTGTCAGATTCACCAGTGTTGAAATGAAGGAAAAAATGCTAAGGGAAGTCAGACAGAAAGGTCGGGTTACCCACACAGGGAAGCCCATCAGACTCACAGTGGATCCCTCAGCAGAAACCCTACAAGCCAGAAGAGAGTGGGAGCCAATATTCAATATTCTTAAAGAATTTTCAACCCAGAATTTCATATCCAGCCAAACTAAGCTTCATAAGCAAAGGAGAAATAAAACCCTTTATGGACAAGAAACTGCTGAGAGATTTTGTCACCACCAGGCCTGCCTTACAAGAGCTACTGAAGGAAGCACTAAAAATGGAAAGGAACAACTGGTACCAGCCACTCCAAACATGTACCAAATTGTAAAGACCACAGACACTATGAAGAAACTGCATCAACTAATGGGCAAAACAATGAGCTAGCATCACAATGGCAGGATCAAATTCACACACAACAATATTAACCTTAAAAGTAAATGGGCTAAATGCCCCAATTAAAAGACATAGACTGGCAAAGTGAATAAAGAGTCAAGACCCATCGGTGTGCTGTATTCAGGAGACTCATCTCACATACAAAGACACACACAGACTCAAAATAAAGGGATGGAGGAAGATTTACCAAGCAAATGGAAAGCAAAACAAAAAACAACAACAAAAACAGGGGTTGCAGTCCTAATCTCTGATAAAACAGACTTTAAACCAACAAAGATCAAAAAAGAAAAAGGGTATTACATAATGGTAAAAGGATCAATGCAACAAGAAGAGCTAACTATCCTAAATATATATGCACCCAATGCAGGAGCATCCAGATGCATAAAGCAAGTTCTTAATGACCTACAAAGAGACTTAGACTCCCACACAATAATAGTGGGAGACTTTAACACCCCACCATCAATATTAGACAAATCAACGAGACAGAAAATTAACAAGGATAGCCAGGACTTGAACTCGGATCTGGACCAAGCTAACCTAATAGACGTCTACAGAACTCTCCACCCCCAAATTCACAGAATATA